ACTATATAGTCTGTATCAGCAGAACTACGTATGGCTTGATCCCGTTTGGGTACGTAGGCAGCCCACTTTGGGTGCAGTCATTGCTATATAGTTTTTACCAAAAAAACCCTAAACCCTAAATCCTAAACCATCCACCGACTTTCTAGTGACTGTTATTTCGCCATTTCCGATCAAAATTGCCATTAAGCTACCAGCTTATCCAACCATTTTCCTTCCATTGCACTACCGTCATTGTTTTCATCAGCCCTAAAAACCTCCACCTGGTTACTCGCACCGTCGTATCTCCGCCAGAGGTGCCGGAAATATCCCTGATCAAAGTTCGTCCAAAAATATATCGCCCGAAAACTGCCCCTCTGGCCGGGTTTAGGGTTTAGAGATGCGATTTGGTAGATATCTCATATATATATATAAGGGAACCGTGTCGCGGATGCCTTAGCGACTGTGGCAGTTTCTCTTTCGATTTAGCAGACACATCTCTCCTGACATATATCCTTTCGATCAAATGACTCCTTCAAGCGGATGGAGATGGTCTCCCGACTTTCCGTTTTAAGTAACTGCCTTCACCCCCTTATTTGTTTTTTAGGAAACTTAGTGTTGATATTACTTATACTTAATAGAATTAGCATTGGTTGGTTGGTATTGATGCATTAAACTTGTTGACTTTGGCCTTTGATACTTAGACTACCTAGGCTTGTGTGGTCTGTTTTGTTTGACTATGACTGTATAGTCTGTATCAACAGAACTACGTATGGCTTGATCCTGTTTGGGTACGTAGGCAGCCCACTTTGGGTGCAGCCATTGCTATATAGTTTTTACCAAAAAAATCCTAAACCCTAAATCATCCACCGACTTCTCAGCTACTGCTATTTCGTCGTTTCCGATCAAAACTGCCATTAACCTACACGCTGATCCAACCATCTTCTGGCCACTGCACTACCGCCATTGTCTTCATCAGTCCCAGAAACCCTAAACCTGGTTACTCGCACCACCGTATCTCTGCCAGAGGTGCCGGAAATACCCCTGATCAAAGTTCGTCCAAAACCGTATCGCCAGAAAACTGCCCCTCTGGCCAAGTTTAGGTTTTAGAGATGCGATTTGGCAGATATCTCATATATATATATAGAAGGGAACCGTGTCGCGGATGCCTTAGCGACTCTGGCAATTTCTCTTTCGATTTAGCATACACATCTCTCCCAACAGATATCCTTTCGTCGATCAAATGTCTCCTTCGAGCGGATGCAGATGGTCTCCCGACTTTTCATTTCAAGTAGCTGGCTTCACCCCTTTACTTGTTTTTTTGGGACACTTAGTGTTGATATTACTTAGACTTGATATACTTAGTATTGTTTCGTTGGTGTTGATTTATTAAACTTGTTGTCTTTAGCCTTTAATACTTAGATTACCACTTTGGGTGTAGCCATTACTATATAGTTTTTACCAAAAAAATCTTAAACCCTAAATCCTAAACCATCCACCGACTTTCCAACCACTGCTATTTCGATATTTCCGATCAAAACTGCCATCAAGCTAAAAAAAAATTGAATTTTTCTATCATACTATATTAAATTCAAAATTAGAACATATATAATTCGAACTCAACCAAAGGAGTTTGACATAAAGCAAGCTTGAAGTAATGGTGAGCAAAATACTCAAAATTCAAGAATTCGATCCGAATCAATAAATATAGAATTTTAGAATATAGTAATACAAATTTAAGACGTTTTCGGATTTTCAGTTTGATTCAAATTTTTTGAATTTTAATTTTAAAATTTAAAATTTCAATTATTTCGATCCAGATTGAGTTTTTTAAAAAATTCTAATTTTTGGATCAATTCGGATTTCACAAACTTCAAACGGAAATCCGAATAGTTCACCTCTAAACTGAAGTCAATGCTTCTTAATAATCAAGAGAGCAATCAAATAAAAACGACAGCAAATTCTTACATAATAATAATAATAATAATAATGAGTAATAGCAGTACTATTAATATATTTTATACATTATATTAGATATTATAACTAATTAAGCTACTTCATAAAATTCATAAACTAACCTTGAAAGTTATTACTTTTCATTTATTTCATTCTTGACTTTGGTGCTAAACGTAAATCAATGGGGTTAATTTTTATTTCTTTATTACATAATATTTACTCCCTCGTCTCCTAAAAATTGGGCTCATTTTATTTTTTTTGTTTGTATCTTAAAAATGTAATCATTTTATTTTTTTTTTATTAAAAATTATCAACACAGTTAATAGTTAAAAGTTAATTATAAATAATTATATTAATTACATAATTTAATAATATAAATTAACAAAATTACTTTTTACCTATTCAAACATAAGTGCTGAGATCATAATATCAACACTTGATCCCCTCCCAAAAATTACCATTTTTTTTAATATCTTTTTTACTATATATTAAAAAAAAAAAAAAAAAAAAAAACCTAAAAAATTTCAATAAAAAATCCCACACGTTATAACTCATGCCCAAAAAATGTTAAGCACAAAATTAAGAGAAGGGATTACTATTATCTAAACGATATGGAGTACTATTTTCTATTACATAAAATTATACTTAAATCACTATTTAAACTAAAATACAAAATCAAGCACAAGAGTGTTTTTGTACATTTTTACCAAATAAAAAGGGATATTTTGTACAATTAAAAGCTAAAATAATAGTCAAATGAGTTTAAATGAAATATTTCCTCCATCCGTCTATTCATATTAACCTTCTGCATCATTGTATTAACATTAAAAATATTCTTATATTTGTATAATCTTTTTTACAAATGTCCTTGTGTTGGTATTATAAGACACCAATGAAAGTATTTTTACAATTTTTTCTTAATTTGTACTATATTTTGATATAATAATTTTAATATTCAAATATCAATACGTAAAAAGTAAATGAAACTCTAATATAATAATTAAGATCAACACGCAAAAAGTAAATGAGACTCTTACGTTAAAGGTAACATTCTTCATCATAAAAATAAAAATAAATATGTTTATACTTTGGGTATATATTTTAATATAATTGTAATTTGTCTTGTATTATTAAAAAAATACAAAAAGGGTTATAATTAAATACAATTATTTATAAAAGAAACACAAAATGACGAAAAAAAACACATTTTTGGATGAGAAAGACTGAATTAAACAGTAAAAACTAAATCCCAAGGAAGCACACTAAAATGATGTTTGCATCCTTAGAGGTATTAGTAGACTAAATTATATTTATAAATTTATATATATGTATAAGACACACACTCAGGTTTCAAAAGAACTATTCAATTGTCATGAAATCACACAACAAAACAGAATATTAATGTATCAAAGTCTCAGCATAATTCAATAATTCCATCTACTATGAGTTATTAAATACGCAATTTGCAAGGAAATGTTTCGTGTTTCAATTTCTAAATAGAGATTCAAAACAAGACATCCACACCAGACAATGACTATCATTTTAAATAAATAAATACTAATAATAATAATAATAATAGATTGAAAACTAGCTTAGATTGGTACTAAAAGAATTAGATATCACACATTCCTACATCCATCCAAATCTGGCCTGCACTGTACTAAATAAATAAATATATATATATATATATATAAATACACCATTAACGATTTAATTACTACTCAAAATACGAATTTAACAAATCTGATGTTTACTGATGTTTTGAAAAAATTTAGGAACAACATAGCGGAAAGTGACATTTTTAATTAAAAACATTAAATATGATAATTACTTTTTTACTGAAAATTGAAACACAATGTAATGTAACAAATAAAAACAACCTTAATATGAAAATACCTAGGATAATATTAATTTAAAAAAAAAAACAAAACTATTACCAACTATGCAAAGCTAATAATTATTAATCACATAATTTACTTTTAAAATATTAAGGTCCACAATTGTTAAAATTCATCATCAATATACTAATTATATTATATAATTATCATATTCTTTCAAATATGTTGGATAAAATTATTCCTTTCATTTTAAATAAACACGTCCACCCCAGTAAGAGATTATCTATGAATAAACAACTTTCAAGCATTTAATAAGATCCAAAACCCACTTCTCACTCTCTTGTGCATATTCACAAGAATCTTAATTTTAATATCCAAATGAAAATTCACAAATCACAACATAAGCCAAAACATAAAACAAATTAGAAATTACATGAAATTGCAACTTAGCTACTGTCTAGAAGAAAAGACACAAAAAATTACTTCAAATTACAACAATGACCTTTTACTTCTATAATTTATTATAATTATGCACCACACTCCTTTGAGACTTAAAAACGGCATAAAACTCTATTGTATTTTTTTAAAAAAAAAACATATAATCCCCAAAAGTTAGAAGATACTTGCTGTTTTCAGAAACATTGCAAAACACTAGAAAAAGAATTATATGCAATATTTTCGGAAACACCGGAGAGCTTCATACAATACCTAAATCATGAAGAAAAATAATGACTAAATTGATTATAATCTTACCATTATATTATCATATATGTATATATCAAAGCATAGAAAAATTTTGCATAAAGGGTTCATACTTCCATGACCATAACCGTTATAGGGTGTGTTTGTTTAAAAAACTTCTCCGAATTTCTACTATTCACTAAAAATTTTTCCCCCAGAACATAAAATCAAATACTTATTTTTTATTTTTTATAATATACTAAAAAATAAATTTTACGTTGAAAACAACTTATTTATACAACTATTCCAATTCCAAATTTCTACTATTCAAATTCTAACTCAAACTTCAAACCCCCAAACAACCACACGTCTCTCTCTCTATATATATATTATATATCCCACAAAAAACTACACCAACTTTCCAACACCAAAAAGGCTATCCTAACATAGTGACTCATATGAAGTAGAATTCCATGTTTCTAAAAGGAGTTGCCTCTTTTGAGCTCCTTCATCATGTAATATAAGAGATTTTCTTTCCATTCAGAAGAGCCCACAGATAGCAACTCCTACCTACATGTCCAATCAAAGTTTTTTCTCTTTCATTATTTACCAATTATTGTTAACTGATTCGGTGGTGCTACCTAATCGTACACTCTCATCCCCTTCATATATCCTAATGCTGAGCTGTGTCCAACCCGAACATCTTTCTCATGGTTCCATCAGGGCTAAAAACACATACGTACGGTTTCCTACAGCAGACGGCGAAGTAACCTTCTATTTATAAGAAGGCACGGGCCGTGCATCCTAATATGGCAGCAAGAAAGATCCTAAGAAAAAGAGTGACTAATGATGTTTTCATTCTGAATTCTGATAATCAGCCAAAAACATCGGTGCAAAGCTCGGAACAACCATGCTTTGGTTCTGGAGAGTATTTCATGGCTCAAGAGACTTTCAAGTCGGGCCCTTTACTAATCATATAATTTTCATGCATCTAGCATATATAGTTTCCAGCTTTTTACTTTAACTACTTTATTATGAAGACATTTAATGAAGCCTATCACCTTACGTCTCTATGTTGTTTTGTTTCATCCTACAAAAGGTTGTTTGTGTGCTCGTGGAATGTTGGAGGAATATCACCACCAGATGATTTGAACCTAAAGGAGTTGATCAACGCTCAAAATGGCACAGCAGATATATATGTTTTCGGGTAATTCTCTACCATTTCTGAGGATCCTAAATTTAATTAATTTTTGGTTGTTTTGTGAGGAATCGTGAGATATATATATATATATATATATACTATTTCTAGGTTTCAAGAAATTGTGCCTCTCCATGCTGGAAATATTTTGGTGCCAGAAAATAGTAATGTTTCGATGAAGTGGAACCCTCTAATCAAAGCTGCTCTAAATGAGAGACAAATAACAGAAGACGAACAAAGAAACTATTCTGTAAAGACAGACAACACCATCAACTCAACTGATGCAGAATTTGAATGCATAATTAGTAAACAAATGGTTGGAATATATATTACCGTATGGGTGCGCCAAGACCTGCTCGATCATATCAGTCATCTGGATGTCTCGTGTGTGGGTTGTGGTATCTTGGGACGCCTGGGAAATAAGGTAATAAGCTTTTAATTAGTCCCATCACTTTCATAGAGACAAATATATTTATCAGCATCCCAAATATTTTGTTGGTAATGTTTTTATCGACAAGGAAATAAGAACATAACTAAGAGCACGTATGCTTCATATCAGGGTTCAGTCTCCATCAGATTTTGCTTGCATGCAACAAGCTTTTGTTTTGTGTGTACACACTTAGCTTCAGGCAGCAAAGAAGGCGACCACAGACAAAGAAACACGGATGTAGCACATATATTGGCGCGCACAATATTTCCAGCAAAACCCCAACAGCATCTGCCAAGAAAAATCCTTGACCACGAGTATGTATACCTGCAACAAATATTTCTGATTATATTGTAATGCATGCTCAAATTGACTACAGTTTAAGGAGCAGTGCTTTTATATGCTCACCTTTTATGTTTCGGCACAATTCTTTCCACAGGCAGCGGCAAGATAAGTTTTTTATTCGATCCAAGAAAAAAAATTACGCTAACATTCCTAAATAAGTTAAGACAGCATGAATATTGCATCATAAGCTCTGAATCCTGTGTGCTAACAAACAAAAGTATTTTACAGAAGGGTGATTTGGCTAGGCGACTTGAACTACAGGATTCACCTCCCTGAAGCTACGACACGGTCCTTGGTTAAGAATAAAGAGTGGAGCATCTTATTAGAATATGATCAGGTAAAAATCATTAAAGCAACCATAGCATAAAATCAAAGGTAAGATGCATCAATTGATTAACATTTCTCTCAATGTGGGGTCTTAAAATGAAGCTGAAAGCTGAGCTGAACAGAGGCCATGTTTTCGAGGGGTGGCATGAGAAAGAAATCGAATTTGCACCTACATATAAATATGATCAAAAGTCAGATGATTATTACGGGAGTAAACACAAAATAAAGGCTGCAAAGACAAGAGCTCCGGCATGGTAAGTTAAAAGTGTTTTCATCACAGTCCTCTAATTCCCAAACAAAAGTAATTTTTGGCAGATGAACAAAGTACTGTAGGTGTGATCGGATTATTTGGTTTGGCAAGGGACTGAAGCAGATCAACTACAACAGAGTTGAATCTAGGTTATCCGACCACAGGCCTGTTCAAGCAACTTTCATAGCATATCTTGGGAATCTAGAGTTTTGAAAAGGCCAAGTGAAGAACTTCAAAAACATTCATCGACCCATTGAAGTGAATCACATCAAGCATTAGTAACATATACATGTTTTATGTAATGCCAACTTGAGCATTCATGTTAATCATCTTCTTTTGCCGAGGGTTGGGAGAAGTGGATAAAAAGAAGGGAATCACATGAATGCAAAAAATTGGAAGGATAACATTGAAGAGCATGCAAATTCAAGAAACAGAACAAATTTTAATCCAATTTCTTCCTATGTTTTTTTCCCAAAATTTTTACTAACATTTCTGACACAGAAACTTGCTCCAAGTGAGAGAGGATGGCAAAAAGCATTTGAAATAACAAACTAGAGTTAGTAGGTAGTGCAACATTATCATCACAGTCCTAGGAACTAAAATATTATCGTTAACTGAAAACACCAAAATAAGAAACACTTCAACATAAGAGAATTCTTCTCAAGTCATGCATGATTTCATATCAATTTTCTTCACTTGATAATAAAATCACCTGCTGTCATTCCCCCAAAAAAATACTCCATCTGTTCGGCTCTAAGGATCACATTTACCTTTTGGTATTTAACATTAAAATTGTCTTTATATTTGTATAATTTTTTGTACAAATGTACTTCTATTAGTATTATAAGACACTAATATAAGTATTTTTGTAATTTTTTCTTAATTTGTACTATGTTTTTATATAATAATTTATATTTAAAGATCAACACGCAAAAAGTAAATGAGACCCTTAGAGTCGGACGGAGGTAGTAAATAAATTCAGTACCACAGCCAATAATATCTGGTATGAACTGCACACCGAACACATTTAGGAATGTGTCCATTGATCGTACTGGTATGTGATACAATGTCTCATTCTCTAAGTGTATGAGCATATTATGAAAGGAAGTGAAAAATCAAAACTCTTTTTTATGCTATCAAACTAAATTAGTACCTGCAGAATGTCTAATTTTGTAAATAGGTTGAAAAACAAAACAAAGAGAGAGATTACTAGTACGTAAGGGCAAAGACATCATATATAGCCAAATAGGAACTCTGGAGTATCAACAATCAACACTGAATGCACAAGGACCTGGAGAAGTAAATGTAATTTGGACTTTCATGTTTAAATAAAGACATGTCTCAGCATTGCAGAACTGATCTGCTAGCTGTTTTGTTGAGCTTTTGACAGATCTTAGGCATAATTTTCCTGCCAAAACATGTTAATTGACCTCATGTCAATATTCCAACTTACACATGCTGCACGATCTTTAAAAGTAAACATGTTAAATTAAGTTTGATGCGAAATTAACAACCTTGGTGCATACATGCTTAAGATGCCTCCAAAACTGCTTTAGCTTCATGGTCGAATGTTTTACAAAGGATCTCATAGCTTGTATCTTGTTTGAACTGCAGAAGAAATCACAAAGGTTGATAACCATAATTTAGAGATCTCAAAAGATTATGAATATCAAAATCTAATAAGAAATAGATAGGTATGAACAGGAATGAATCCATACCAACGGATCAACTCTTGAAGGCGAAATTGCAGAAATTGTGTACCTGAAATTTATAATTCAAGAAAGGGGACCTTGTCAGCCTTACCGGTTCATTGCAAAAGAAAATTGTAATTCTGTAACAGCTTGTCAATTAATTTAACTTATTATACCTTAGTTTACCAATGTAGAAGTCCATTGCTAGCCAATTTGCTTTTTGAACAGTTAGCACCACAGCACTCATCTTATTCTGTGAACATAGAAGACATTGATTAAGTTTCTCTGAACACAAAAAGCTCTCAGTGCGGAATATGGTCGTGATACCAAAAACAATTAGCATTTAGAGTCCACAGGCAACATTTACGAACAGCAAATTGAGACTGATTACTAACACAACAGACAATGCCAGTTTTAGGCCAATTAAAAGTGTAGAGAACAATTGACCTTGGACATTTTCATAAACAATTATGCTTATGCAGGTACCGATGCACCGAGTTCTCCATTCAGTTAAAAAGAAATTTCATACAAAACCTATTCCAACTTGAATAAAACTGGTAAAATATAACTGCACCTTACAGGCAATAAGCTCAATTAGCTGCATTAAGAATTTTCCTAAACCCTTTCCTTGAACACGGGGTTCAAGCTGCAATTCATAAACATAAGCCACGGGAACCTCTTCCTCCATAATAAACCGGTAATGTACAAACCCAACTATTGGGCCGTGACAAGTGCATGTCATGTCTGAGTCATGTGGCTGAGTTACTGCATTGTAATCTTCACTTGAAATTTCATGGACAAATATATAACGGGCTTCTCCTGCCACCATTTCTCTCCGCTTTATCTTTTCCTCTGCTGGCCACTCATGTCCATAAGGTCCCTCCATATTTAACTAAAAAGAAAACGCATTCACATACAAAAATGCATCATCAAGTTACATAGATCCCAACTACGAAGGACGACTTAGAAAATGCCCTGTCGTTACCTTGAGAAGATTTTGAATGTACTTCTTCGTATCAACTGTTAGCTTATTACCCCATCCCGACTTTAGATGTGCGTAGATGCCTAGTGGAGACAAAGTTGAAAATTTGCTGAATAAATAAAAACAGAAGACATGGTTCATGTATACAAATTATAATGCAACAAGAATAAGTAATGCGAAAAGGAATAACTTCTTAAGCTAGAATTTCACTTCTATAGCAAGATGGATCGGCGAGAGCCAAAAAGTCATAGTTTCAAACCCTAAGAATCTACACAGGGAAAACAACTCATCTTCAAAATTCAATTCCCAACCTCATCTAATCCAATTTAAAATGTTGCAATTGCTTCCTATGAAATCAGAACAGCTCTCTGCGGCTCGTTCACCCAAAGCAACACATAATAACAAACACGGAAACACCTAAATGAACAAAAACATAAAAACAGCACGACAAAATACAACAAAGGTCTGATCGAATCCAATATTGAAATCCATAACTTAAAATCGCCATCAATCAACACGGCAGATCCCTCAATCGCAACAAGATACGAAGTATGCACTACAGACATTCATCACGTATTACTAAACTTACCAATAATTCACTCACAGAATACAAATAATAATAAGACCAAGCAGGAAGGCAAACCACTATTCGCTTTGTAGTGGCGAAAGCTCCGGAAAAAAGAGAGATGATCTTTCACCGAATAAGCTTCTTTAATTACATTCTCAATCGCCTTCTTCTTCTCCAATACCTGCTTCACAAAATATTCACGAAAAAAAAAAAAAAAAAAAAAAAACAGAATCAAAATCAAAATCAGAATCAGAATCAACTCGAGAACCTTCTCTCTTGTTCCTCCTACACCGAATCCATATAGAGATAACAATCAATCAAACGATAAATCAATACTCCCTCGGCACCTCTTTCCTCGTCGTCCGTTTCTCACTCTGACCAATTATCCTCTCACTCTCCATCGCAGAGTTCACAGATCTTCCTTCGCCCCTTTTTCTCCCGCCATTCGTCAGTTCCTGCTATTTATACCCTCGTAAATTTCTCGTCTGAGCGCTTGTTTCTATATTTTATTTTTTACTTTTTATTTATTGTGTCATATGTGTGATAATCAAATACTCAACAAATCTCTAATCCAAAAAAATGTGTGGGATTTACACCTTTTTTTTTAATTATTAATATTACTAGTATAATAAAATAATTATATTTTTATTCAAAAAAAAAATAATACTTTGCTGTTGACTGTCAAGAATGTCACAAACAAATAAAATATGATTCCTTATTAGCAAACATAAATCATACCAATATTTATAAAGTAAATTTAGTATATTTTATATTAAAAATCAAATATAAAAAATATATTTTTCTTGGAAGTATTAAGTAAATAATAAAGAAGTGAGCATATGTGTCCATTGCAAGTTTTCCGTAAAGAATGGTCCGGTGGTGATGTTGTCATATGTTTTTATTTATTTATTTATTTTTTTATCGTTTTCTTCATTGGTATTTTTATTTTTGTTTCATTTGTTTGTGCTTTTAGGTTTTTTAAATTTAACTTATCTTTTCCGCAAAATTTTCTGCTACAATTCTGTCGTCGTTCTCGCCACCGGCCCGCTTCAAATGTGTGGTTGCTTATTTCTTAAGTATGTTTTTGTTTTGTTTAATTTTTTTTTTTTTTTTTTTTTTTTGGCTTTCTTGAAAATCAGTAGCATTGTTTATTTTTGAATAAAGTGTTGATTTTCCAAAACATCATTGATCAAAATTTCAAAAAACACCGAGTTCAAGTAACACATATAATGTGAAATAAGAACATGTGCTACATAAAAATATTATATGCGTTTTTGGGACTATTGATCGGTATTTTTGGGTCTTTTGAATCAATGCTACTTAGAAAATTCATCACAGTGTTATGTACTTTATGGACATGTCGATAGGTGTTTTTTTGGACTTTTGAATCTATGTTATTTGAAAAAATTATCACTGTATCAAGTCATGTGTTCCTTGTTCTTACACTATATTTATTTTATATTAATATAAATAATATAATATATACTCTTTAAATTTTTGATCTATTCTATTTGAAGAAATCAGCACAGTAATCGAATCAAAACACCTATTTTTTATTTTTTATATTATACTAAAAATTAATTTTACATTCAAAACATTACATCAACGTCTATTTATATCACATCATACAACTATTCAAATTCAAAGTTTTTACCATTCAAATCACAACTCAAAATCCAAACATCCGAACAAACACCAATATCAAAAAAAACATGGACAAAAACACATTACTTACAAACTTCACATCCCAATAATTGGGCCAAAAGTAATTGGGCCACAAAATTGTTATAACAAATAACATTTGACTAGCATGGAGACATTTTTATCAATTAGGGAAGGGTGTGGTCCTAAGAAGTTTGGCCATTGCTCTTAGTAGAGTTCCAATAATATTCCGAAAACGACGTTGTCCGAACGTATCTTTGTCCCGGGAACAAGATTTCCGTTCTCCTCGTTGTTGTTGTTGTTATTGTTTCGTTCCATTGCCGACTGTTTTCTTTTTCTTTCTTTTTTCTTTTTTTTTTTCCGACGACAACGATGCGTGATTTAACCTCTTCTTGTCTCATTTCACAGATGGTTTGTTCCTCCTTTTGTAGTTAAGGAAAATGTATAAATATATATATATACTAACACACACACACACCCATGTGGGTGTGTGCGTGTGTATTTGTACATATAGACATAGTAGTCTTGTTGTTGGTATTATTCGTGTAGGTGTATTTGATGTGTACTTGACTCCAACCATGTCTTGTTGGTTGTTGCTACGTACATACACATGATGATGCACTTCATTTTCAATTTGTTGTAAAAATAAATAAAGTATATAATATATATAACAATAAAAATAAAAAATATATATATAATTAATAAAAATACACAAAATATCATTATTTAGAATATTTTTGTAATTTCTCGTACCTTACTGCAAAATGCTAAATTTATAAACAAATGCACTTTATATATATATATATATATTCCAAAATTTGTGTATTCTATTGCAGTTTTGTTTTATTTATTATTTTGATACTTTTACAATAAAAAATACTCCCTCCGTTCTAATACAAACAGTTTTATTTACCATTTTTGTCTGTTCTAAAATAATAGTTTTATTTCAATAAATAACCATATCACTATAAAACTACTCTACTTTTTCATTTTTATTATACAATTGCCACTATTTTTTACATTAATACAGTCACAAAGGTAAAAAAGTCTTTTATCCATATTTTTTACCAACTACCAATATAATATCAATATTCCTTAAGTCTCGTGTCCAATCCAATTAAGACTATATTTATGGGATGGAGGGAGTAATATCAAATATACTATTTGATATAATAAAATACTCCCTCCGTCCCAATAAAATAGTTTTGTTTACCATTTTTGTCCATTTCAAAACAATAGTCTCATTTCTATAAATAACCTATCACCATAAAACTATCCCTATTTTTTCATTATTATTACACAATTGTCACTACTTTTTACACTAATATACGGGCAAAAAAAATTATTTATCTTTATTTTTTACCAACTATCAATATAATATCAATATTCTTTAAATTTCGTGGTCAATGAGACTATATTTTTTAGTCGGAGGAGTATATATTTGCACGAACAAGCCCTTAATTTATTATATACATTCACATGCACCCATCATACCAGTGTCTTTTGCTATCATCATGCATCTTTATATATAAATATATATATATATATATATATTATAATAATAATAATAATAATAATAATAATAATAATAATAATAATAATACACAACTACTGTTACATTCAAACAAAATTTTTTATTATTATAATATATATTATTAACCATTATTATACCTTTTCATTGTATTCCCTTTTCAAGTAAAAGAAATTAAATACTTTTACTCTCTTCATTCCATATTTCATGCATGTATATGTTATCGTTTTAATTTGTTGTATATTTTATCTTAGTTATTCTTTTTAGAGAAATATTACACATTTAAATAATATTTTAAGAATTTTCTTAATTTATAATTATCCTAATTTTAATAAATTATTTAATTATTTTAATTTTAATTTATAATTATTTCACTAATAGTTTTTTTTAACTATTTACTAATTATATCAATTCTAAAAAAAATTCTCAGTATTTACTTTCAAATGTGAGACCGATGGAATAATTGTTTAGAATAAAAATATGAGGCTCAATTTATATACTCCTATATACATTTAAAAATTTGATTTATTTATCAATAGTAGTTTTTTTAAAAAATATATATATATATATTAGATCAAATCATTATTTCAATTCAAAATTTTATTAAGCAAAATTCAAAATCTAACAAGTAAACAAGAGTTTAGGGTGAGTGTGTTTGCTTCTAATTTGAGTTTAAGATTTTAATTTTAAATAATAATTTAATATGATGCATTGTAAAAAAATCATTTATATTTATTTTTTTACTATTTAAAATTTCTAAATAAAGAGAGTCCAAAAGTTTCAACAGACAAGACATATTTTAATTAATTTGACATAAATAATAGAGAAAAATAACTATTTTAAATAATTAATAATAATTTTGATTTTGAATTTTGAATTGTAAGTCATAATTATTTATAAGAAGTATAGTACGATGGTATGGGTCGGGTAGCTTGAAATTCAATAGTTCAGGTGTGTAGTGTGTTAACCAATTAGATTTTTATATATATATATAATACTACTATTTAGATTTTATAAGAAAATTATTATTATTTTATAATATTATATTTAAATTACTATTTAAATTTAAACTTAAAATTAAAAAGAAATTAACTGTGTTAGCATATTTTTTATATATCGTCATTTGGGTTCACATATATATGCCTATATATATATATATATGCACTCTCTTTTTGTTAAAATATAATTTTTATTTTTCACAAATATTCAAACATGGTATCAGAGCCTATTTTTCTTCTGGGATAGACATAGCTACTAATCCTTATTGCTTTCGCCGCCAACGCCGGCACGTGGTAGCCGCACGAGCCTCCGACGCAGATCGATGTCGTATCCCTCCGGTGACCGCCGCCTTCCCGCCGCGTCCGGCGGTTTCCAGCCGCAGTTTCCTGCTTCGATCCCCAATATCCTAGTATGGTCGGTTTTGTCATCTGACTTGAATTTATTTTGCAACTGTTACTGGGTTGGCTTGTCCAGTCTAATTTTCTGCACGATTCTTTTGAGCGGTAAACAATTCTTTATTTTTTCGCTTCATAGTATGACTATTAATATGGATCGTGTAGACACTTCCGGAATTACTGTCATTCTTTTTGGTGATAATTATGATTTGTGGGCTGAATCCATGAAGAGTTTCTTGATTGGTAAAAGATTATAGAACCACATTATTCTTACTTGGATTTGGAATACCTCTTCCAAGTCCATTCAGATTCAACTTCGCCGCATTGGCACCGCCAAGAAAGCTTGAGGCATGCATTATTACCAGCTTATAGGGTCATTGAATGCACTGACACATGACTCGCGCCAAGATATGAATGAGTTCCTCTCTACTATATAGTCTATGTGGGATCGCATTGATGAGGCTGATATACAGATTGAGCACTTTCGGTTGATTCAACTCTTGATGAAGTTTGGTCGAGAATATGAGTCTGTGCGTGCTTCCTTACTTCATCGTCATCCCTTGCCTTCCTTGGAGGCAGCGATGAAGAAGATTTTGTCTGAAGATACCCGCCTCAAAATGCTCAAGGCTCCTACTCTTGATTCGACCTTGGCAGTTCCCTCTTCTACTCCTTATCGCAGAGATAATCGCAAGGATGTCCGACCACCGCAGTCTGATAAATGTCGCAGTTGCCCAAATGTTGATCACCTTTATATCTATTGCCATAAGGTTAAGTGTCACTACTGTCATCAAAAAGGCCACATCCGTCCGTATTGTCCCAAAAATCCCAAGGTTAGTCAGTCCTCTTCCGGCTCTTGAGGACCTACATCACATGCTCACTCAGGTTTTATTAATTTGTCCTTCATTAGCCT